ATGAAAGATTCACCTGCTAGTCAAATTTCTTTCAGTAGAAGTTGCAATGGAAATTTTTTTAAAGCTCATACCATTTATAAAAAAGCAGAATCATTTTGCAATATACTATCTAGTCCCTGACTTTGAAACATCTTTATCTTTCTTTCATTTTTGTAATAAAAAAGTCATTAATATAAGAAAATACTATTTCTAGACTTTAGAAAGAATGCAACCAACATATAAAAACACATACAGTAAAATTCTCACTGGATTAGTTGGCCCTTGAACACTTTAGAGAAATTCCTGTTTATTCTTTCATCCATGTCATATCAAATATTTTCTCTGGGAGTAGAATGGAAATGTGTCTTCTTTGGGCCTTTCTCATATTTTATCACAGAAAGGGTCATTCTCCCACAACCCAAAGGAAAAAGATGGAGAAAAGAGCCAGGGGTGGGAAAGAAATGAAAGGGAGAAAGTATTTGTTGAATGAGAATTATGTGCATTTCCAATCCATTTTACATGTCTTTTCCCACCTTTATTTTAACCCAGTGATGCATTTCTTTTCACCATTCTGATTAAAGTAAGTGTTAGGGATGTCAGATAATTTACCCACTTCCCTTACTCTGCTGTATCCTATACTTACTAATGTAAAATCACACCACTCAGGAAAGTATCCTAGTTATTTCATGCTTATGTTAGTCACTCGGTTGTGTCTGACTCTTTGTGATCCCATGGACTGTAGCTCACCAAGTTCCTCTGTCTATGGGATTTTCCAGGCAAGAATACTGGAGTCAGTAGCCATTCCCTTCTCCACAGGATCTTCCCAACCCCTTGCAGGCAGATTCTTTCCCTTCTGAGCCACCAGGGAATCCTAACAATACTGGAGTGGGTAGCCTATTCCTTCTCCAGTGGATCTTCCCAACCTAGGAATTGCATTGCTGATGGATTCTTTACCTGCTGAGCTACCAGGTATGCCCTATGAAAGTTGCTCAATTGTGTCCAACTCTTTGTGACTCCATGGGCTGTAGTCCACCAGTCTCCTCTCTCCATGGAATTCTCCAGGCTATAATACTGGAGTGGGTAATGATTCCCTTTTCCAGGGGATCTTCCCAACCCAGGAATTGAACCCAGGTCTTCTGGCATTGCAGGCCGATTCTGTACCATCTGAGCTACCAGGAAAGCCCATCCTAGTTATAAGGATGTGGAATTACTAAACATTTTTATTTATCTCTCACAAAAGTACCTGAATTATCTATAGGTATGTCAGAAACATGAGGAATTAGGGTTCTAGGCAAGCTTTGCTAAATGGCTCAAAAAAATCTGATGATGAGTTTGTTTGGATCTCAGAGTCCATTTTAGTATACAGCATAGGGTTATATGTTAAAAGAAATCAGCTAGCCATAGATAAAAAGATAATTATTAATCAGATTCTTCCTGTCAGTTTTCCAAAAATAATTATGCCCAGTGAGGAAATACAACTCAGAAACTCACATAAAATAGTTTCATTCCTGGCTATATCATTATGTATGTATGCTATATAAGCATGAAATTGGGCAGGTCATTAAATCTCTCAGAATCTTACATTCGTCATCTGTGCTAATTACCCTTAAAAGAATTTTATAGGTAAAGCATATTTCATTTATTACCTACTTAATAAAGGAATGAGATTACATATAGTTTCATTTCTATTCTAAGTAACTTCCCCCAAATGCCCTTAATTTTCCTTTATGAAATAAACTTTTCAATTTGAAAATGGTAAAAAAAACTTATTCATCATTGTAGTGAGAGCAAAATCAAATGTGTTATGTATTATGCACATATTGAATCTCTAAGTATCATGCACATATTGAATAATGAGAAGTAAACATGTTTAAAGGTGTGCTCCTTTACTACAATTCATGGGGAAAAGATAGTCTCTTCATTTTGATAAGTGAACCTTGACTTCCTTCACATAATACAAAAAATAATAACTTGAAGTGGATTATAACATAAACACGAAAGTTAAAACAATCTACTAGGAGCAGTTTTATTTTTCATAACCTTGGGGTTTGATAAATATTTCTAAAACAGGCTCAAACTAGCACTAATGAAGAAGCAAAAGATTAAAAATGGACTGAATTAAAATTAAGAAGAGTGAAAAGGAAGGTTGAAGTCTGTGAGGAAGTATTTGCAAAATACAAAGAATTTGTATCAGGAAAAATCTACAGTACCACTACAAATCAATAAGAAAATGACTAGCAATCCAATAAAAATGGGCAAGCCACTCAAACAGAGTTAGCAAAAGATAATGCTGAAATGACCAATAAGCTTGGGAAAACATGCTCAGTATTGCTAGTCAGCAGCTTAGGCCACAGTAAGATACCATCAGACCCCATAAGAATGGTTACAATGAAAAAGACTGACAATACCAAACAAAAGAAGGATATGAAACAACTGGAATGTTCTTACATTTCTAATGAGGGGAAACATTTGCACAACATTTTAATGAAATATTTTGGCAATATCTACCAGATCAAAACATACACATGCCATAGGATCCAGCAATTCTACTCCAACATATAGCCAAGACAAAGGACTGAATCTGCCTACCAAAATACATGTGGAATGTTTGTGAAGTGTTATTTAGAATAGCCCAAAGCAGTAAACAGGCTTTCCAGGTGGCTTCGTGGTAAAGAATCCTTCTGCCAATGCAGGAGATGCAGGTTCATACCTGGGTCAGGAAGATCCCCTGGAGGAGGGCATGACAACTCACTCCAGTATTCTTGCTTGGAAAATCCCATGGATGGAGGAACCTAGCGGGCTACAGTCCATGGGGTCACAAAGAGTTGGACATGACTGAGCAAGCATGCAGTGCCAAAGCAGTAAACAACCCAAATATCCACCAGCATGAAAATGAGTAAACTGTGGTGTATTCATATAATGGGATATTGCACAGCAGTGAGAACAAACCACCACTGCATGCAATAACATGAATGAATCTTGTAGATTTCACTTCCATTGGGAAAAACCTAGACACAAAGGAGTACATAGCTCATTATACTATTTATATAAAGTTCAGAAACAGGCAAGGCTCGCCTGTGACGGTGGACTTCAGAATAGTTATTAGTTTGGAGAAGAATGTTGGGTAGAAGAAGGTTTGAGGGAGCCAACTGAGATACTAAAGTGAGCTACAGGTTCTGGATAATGATTACTACACACATATTTTTGTGTAAATATTTGTCTTGCTGAGCTTACATTTAAGATCTGTAGACTTAACTGCTGCTTGCAAGTTATGTCTCAATAAACAACAAAAAAAAATTAAAAGTTTTAAATGTTTCAAACTTTCATTCCATACACTGATTGGCATGGGTGGAATATGGGGTTGAAAAATGCTAAAAATATTTCTTCAGGTCAACCATTAAATAATAAAATTAGTTTGAACCAATTAATGTTGAACGTAAAATTTCAGTGGTATGTGCTAAGTTGCTTAGTCATGTTTGACTCTTTGCAACCCTGTGGATTATACCCTGCCAGGCTGTCCATGGGATCCTCCAGGCAAGAATACTGGAGTGGGTGGCCTTTTCCTTCTAGAGGGGATCTTCCTGACCCAGGGATCGAACCTGTGTCTCTTATGTGTTTTGCAAAGGCAGATGGGTTCTTTACCACTAGTGCCACCTGGGAAGCCTCTCAATGATATAGCCTTAGCATTTAAAATTTAGGGGAAGAGCAGACCAAAGAGTCAATTAAAATTGCATATGCTAAGTGTCTATTGTCTAGGATTTTACAGGAAAATTACATGTCTTAAAATATTATATGCTTAGCTGTTTCCCCACTCCCCATTCCCCAGGTTTCTTTCAGAGATGGATGAATACAGCAATATTTAAAATGTTTATGAAGGAATGATTCTAAACCACTGGAATCTCCTGTCATAACAGAACATATCCAAAGGGATAGAATATGAAACAATAGCATTAAATGATATCTTCACGGACTTTGGGGCTTCCCTGGTAGCTCAGCTGGTAAAGAATCCAGCTGCAATGCAGAAGACCCCAGTTCAATTCCCGGGTCGGGAAGATCCCCTGGAGAAGGGATAGGCTGCCTACTCCAGTATTCTTGGGCTTCCCTGGTAGCTCAGCTGGTAAAGAATCCAGCTGCAATGCAGGAGACCCCAGTTCGATTCCCGGGTCTGGAAGATCCCCTGGAGAGGGGATAGGCTGCCCACTCCAGTATTCTTGGGCTTCCCTGGTGGCTCAGCTGGTAAAGGATCCACTTGAAATGCGGGAGACCTGGGTTCGATCCCTGGGTTGGGAAGATTCCCCTGGAGGAGGGCATGGCAACCCATTCCAGAATTCTTGCCTGGAGAATCCCCATGGACAGAGGTGCCTGGTGGGCTACAGTCCCTGGGTCTCAAAGAGTCAGACACAGCTGAGCGACTAAGCACACAGCCCAGGTTTTAAAGGCTACAGTTGCTTGCAGGACCGTGGTTATGTATTTGGAGGTTTTGGTTCTCCTTCATTCATCTTTTCATATTTTTCTTTGCCTTTGAATATCTTCCTCTTAAATGGTTGCTCTGCTGTGCTAGTAACACAGGCCTTTTAAACAACCCCAAATGTCAGGAGTCAGAGAAGTCTTTCAATCCTGAGCAAATACAAACTTTGTTTTGCAATGCATACCTTCTAACCTGTTTGAATACTCACCTTTGTAATCCTAGAAACTCTTCAGGTAGAAGAGGCACTGTTATGAGGTTTCAGCTACACTTGAAAAACAGATAGCCAGTATTAACAATCTCCTAACAAAATGTATGTTTAGTCTACATGGTATGCTCATGGTCACTCACACACTGTTCTAAATAATTTTTGACACAAAGTTGTACCACAGACTTTCTAACTATCTTATTCTGCTAGATTTTTTCACTCACTTTCTAAAATGTCATAAATTGCTTTCAGTCTAAATATCAGAACAACTTTTTAAAATTACTAAGAATCAACAAGACACAGAGTTGATAATACCTATTGGAAAGCAGGAAGGACAGAGAAGCATACCGATAACAAAGTTGGCCTTAGAGGCTGACTGCCCATACTGTTGCTCAATGTACTTCGGTTTGTAAGTTACCATGCCAAATAAAGAATTGAACTGAACGGTGCTTGCACACAAATATAAGAAGTACACCGGATTTCCAAAAAGACTCTTCAGTGATGGCAGAAAATCTATAAGACAAAAATAGCATGGAGTAATTAAAGACAGGGTCACACTTGGCAGAAGATGCAGCCATAGCCTCAGAGCTGAATGGTTGAGTCCTGATGTCGTGGTTCCCAGGAGAGTTTATAGAGTGGTACACCCACACACTGAATGTTAAGCCAGTGACACAAGACAGAGTTGAGATCTGGCCAGGTTCAGATCCAGACATAGGTGCTCACTTCCACAGGCATAAGATCTAGATTATAAATTAGAATCAGTCAGATGAGAACAGATTCCTCTGATGTGGTAAAAGATATGAGGTATAAGAAAACTCCCTCCCCATCAAGCTGAGAGTCATAGGCTGGACATCAGAAACTTGAGTTTTCTGGTCTCTCTCCTTTGAACTTGGGTCATGGAAGCAGAGAAGAGAATATGAAACTTTTCTCCAGTTAATTATTAATAGAATGAGCTTTGGCATTCTCTCTTCTTCCTTTTATGCAAGCTAAATAGAAATTTGAAGATTTTCTGTAAATGTCAATATTGCTGAGCCATTTGAAGAGGACCAATCTTTCTCATGGCCACCCATTCCCACAGGAAGGGAATTCACTAGAACTTGTCTGACCTTTGGCCCCACACCACACTCACTCCTTTGATCATTGGTGGGACACATGCAGTGGTGCATATTCTCAAGTGGGTGGATGTTATCTGTCAATTGCCACAAGCCCTAAAGGTTTTTTTCTGACCACGCAGACTAATGCGAAGCAGCCCTCCCAGGAGGGCTGTTTGCAAGGTCTACATGGAGCAGGTGTAAGGGTGGAGATGGCAGCAAAGATTTTTTAATAATCTTCATTTCTTCTTCCTGTGCTCAGTTGCATCCAACTCATTGCAACCTTATGAACTCTAGCCCAACAGGTTCCTCTGTCCATGGAATTTCCCAGGCAAGAACACTGGAGTGAGTTGCCATTTCTGCCTCTAGGGGAGCTTACTGATCCAGGGATCAAACTCTGAAGTCTCCTGTGTCCCCTTCATTGGCAGACAAATTCTTTACCACTGTGCCACATGGGAAGCCCGGCTACTGTACAGTTTCTCAATTTTTTTTCCTGAACACATGAAGTGGAGAGAGAAGTATTGTTTATAGATCACCTCGAAAGTTTCAACAGGAATATGGAAAGTGCTTCAGAACCAAAGAGAATCGGGCTTACCTCTTGCCATTTCCATGATTTTTGCTTTTTCTCCAGGAGGTGTTTGATAGTCCGTGTGATCATCCATAATAAACTTAGATTTCTCAGAGGAGGAACTGGAGTCCTCTCTGCTCCTGGGTCTTGGTAGAGTCCTTGGTAAACACCAGAAAGGCACGGCTGCCAGAAGAGTGATGCTTCCTGCTATGAGGTAGCCAAGCCACCAGGCACCCACCCACTGAGGGTCCTTTGGGGTGATGGTTATATGATCTGAAAAAGAGACAGGGTGGCTAGAGAACATATACAGCAAAGCTAGTGCATTAAATAAGGCTCTTAAAATCCTAGCATTAGCTCTATCACATCATAAAAATACATAATAATTCATACATGACAACTTTTTTTCTAATCTGAATATATGCCTGATGAACTATGGATGGAGATTCATGACATTGTACAGGAGACAGGAATCAAGACCATCCCCAAGAAAAAGAAATGCAAAAAAGCAAAATGGCTGTCTGAGGAGGCCTTACAAATAGATGTGAAAAGAAGAGAAGTGAAAAGCAAAGGAGAAAAGGAAAGATATACCCATTTGAACGCAGAGTTCCAAAGAATAGCAAGGAGAGATAAGAAAGCCTTCCTCAGTGATCAATGCAAAGAAATAGAGGGAAACAATAGAATGGGAAAGACTAAGATCTCTTCAAGAAAATTAGAGATACCAAGGGAACATTTCATGAAAAGATGGGCTCAATAAAGGACAGAAATGGTATGGACCTAACAGAAGCAGAAGATATTAAGAAGAGGGGGCAAGAATACACAGAAGAACTGTACAAAAAAGATCTTCATGACCCAGATAATCATGATGGTGTGATCACTCACTTAGAGCCAGACATCCTGGAATGTGAAGTCAAATGGGCCTTAGGAAGCATCACTACGAACAAAGCTAGTGGAGGTGATGGAATTCCAGTTGAGCTATTTCAAATCCTAAAAGATGATGCTGTGAAAGTGCTGCACTCATTATGCCAGCAAATTTGGAAAACTCAGCAGTGGCCACAGGACTAGAAAAGGTCAGTTTTCATTCCAGTCCCAAAGAAAGGCAATGCCAAAGAATGCTCAAACTACCGCACTGTTGCACTCATCTCACATGCTAGTAATGTTCAAATTTCTCCAAGCCACGCTTCAGTAATATGTGAACCATGTACTTACAGATGTTCAGGCTGGTTTTAGAAAAGGCAGAGGAACCAGACATCAAATTGCCAACATCCGCTGGATCATTGAAAAAGCAAGAGAGTTCCAGAAAAACATCTATTTCTGCTTTATTGACTATGCCAAAGCCTTTGATTGTGTATATCACAATAAACTGGAAAATTCTGAAAGATATGGGAATACCAGACCACCTGACCTGCCTCCTGAGAAACCTGTATGCAGGTCAGGAAGCAACAATTAGAACTTGACATGGAACAACAGACTGGTTCCAAATAGGAAAAGGAGTATGTCAAGGCTGTATATTTTCACCCTGCTTACTTAACTTATATGCAGAGTAAATCATGAGAAATGCTGGGCTGGAGGAAGCACAAGCTGGAATCAAGATTGCCAGGAGAAATATCAATAACCTCAGATATGCAGATGACACCACCCTTATGGCAGAAAGTGAAGAAGAACTAAAGAGCCTCTTGATGAAAGTGAAAGAGGTGAGTGAAAAATTTGGCTTAAAGTGCAACATTCAGAAAACTAAGATCATGGCATCTGGTCCCATCACTTCATGGCAAATAGATGGGGAAACAGTGGAAACAATGGCTGACTTTATTTTTCTGGGCTCCAAAATCACTGCAAATGGTGATTGCAGCCATGAAATTAAAAGACGCTTACTCCTTGGAAGGAAAGTTATGACCAACCTAGACAGCATATTGAAAAGCAGAGACATTACTTTGTCAACAAAGGTACACCTAGTCAAGGCTATGGTTTTTCCAATGGTCATGTATGGATGTGAGAGTTGGACTATAAAGAAAGCTGAGCGCTGAAGAATTGATGCTTTTGAACTGCAGTGCTAGAGAAGACTCTTCAGAGTCCTTTGGACTGCAAGGAGTTCAAACCAGTCCATCCTAAAGGAAATCAGTCCTGAATATTCACTGGAAGGATTGATTCTGAAGCTGAAACTCCAATACTTTGGCCACCTCATGCGAAGAGTTGACTCATTGGAAAAGATGCTGATGCTGGGAAAGGTTGAAGTCAGGAGAAGAAGGGGACGACAGAGGATGAGCTAGTTGGATAGGATCACCGACCAAATGGACGTGGGTTTGGGTGAACTCTGGTAGTTGGTGATGGACGGGGAGGCCTGGCGTGCTGCAATTCATGGGGTTGCAAAGAGTTGGACATGACTGAGCAACTGAACTGAACATTATTACGATCTTGCTTTTTAAAGGAAAGAAGATGTTTTCAGAGCACAATTATTTCTCTTTTGTTCCTTAGATTAAAAATATAGAATCCACAGTCCTGGAGGGGTTCTCACTCTGCTCTGGGCTTCTGCAGAGGGACCCCCGGACCTATGACAGGAGGAAAGCAACATGCGAGAAAGACTCAGGAGGGTTTAAAGCCTTCTGCTACCTCTCCCACATGAGTGCCATTTTCATCTGATTTACACATTGAATGTCTAGAATTTTACTGAAAGAAAAAGACCCTATATGCTTAGGCCCAAATCTAGTCTGAGCCACTCAGAATGTTATTTATTAAATGATGATTAGTAATATTTCAGAGATATTCTAGTTCTGAAACAAGATTTGTATATGCTTTAATAATTAAAACATCAATATTTATTCATTATAAAATTTTTGATACTGTTTCTTATTTGACTGAAATGTAAGCACTGACAAATGTATTTTAAGCAAATAGAGCTTTTTAAAAATATATATATATAAGAACATATGAAACATACTATTGTACTCTAACTCTATTACACTCTATGAGAATCCTTTGACAATTAGGCTTGATCAGCACTACATTATACTCAGTGAAATGTTTGATTTAGTTATCACTGCATGTTCATTGCTTCCTTTTCACTATTTTCCTCGGTACCTCTCATCATGCCAACACGTTCTTATCTATATCAGTCGCCATGACCAGATTTTAAATGTCATGAAGTCAAGGAATCAACTGTTTTGTTCACTTTGGTAGAACATCACTTGAGTTAGAGTAGACATGAAATAAATGTGAGGAGTAATAAATGAATAAACAAAATTTCTGGAATGCATATTTGATTAAAAAAGAACAGCTAGCTCAAGTGTTTTGCATTCTATTGTAACACATAATAATCATTTGTAGCACACACTAGTGACAAGGTGATTCCAAAATTTTTTAAACTAAAATTTGTTTTCTTGTTTTTAACTGCTTCCTAGGAATTCTTCAGGAAAACAGATAATTTCTATGTATGTCTAGGGCCTACATCTTATAAGGAAAGAAACAAATTAACAGCTATGGAGAGATGAAGTCCTCATTTATTCCCTCCACAAGCATTCCTCCAGAAGGAAAGTTAGTCTCACTATAAAGTTTCTTCAACTAAAAAAGATTTGTACATTAAAAAAAGGAATTTTAGTTGCCAGAGACTTTCAATTGTTGGCCTTTTTGGAAAGTCCAGAAATATGTTATTAATTGATGTGACTGTAGTAAATGTTGATTCACCTGAAGCCTGTAAGAAGCCACTGTTGTTAGTCTTAACTAAGCTTGAAAGCCTTTAAACTGGGAAACCAGAAGTGGAAAATGATACAACTGATTAACAAACTATGGTTCATCTGGTTATAATCACCACCTATTTTTCATGTTCCATTTATTAATGTGTGTGATAATTGTATAAGTAATAAGTTTTCAAGGATTATTTTCATTTTATGAAAGACTACCATCCTATCATTTTGTAAAAAGACAATTTGATATTTTTGACACTATTCCCATTAAAAATTACAGTAACTAAAATAGATGAATAAATAGAAATAAACTTCCTTACCTAGATTTACAAAGCCAATGTCAACATACAGTTTGGCACATAACGAGCCTAACAGGAAGCCAAAGATTGGTCCTATAATTGCAACTGTCTGCACACATCCTACAAAATACAAAAGTACCATTTCTTTGCTTTTGTAAATTAATAAAATTTTAAACAGGAAACATGCATGAGATCCAGTTAGTCACTGAAAATATTTCATCAACTCTTCCCTTAAGTGTACTTAATTTGTCAACTTTTCAACCTCACTGAATCCGGAAATAACTTCTTCTCAGTGTTGGAAGAAGAATGAGCATCTTTAAGGCATTAATTACCTTTTAGTAAGATAATAACACTAAGACTCAGCTAATTTTGGCAAATGGAACAAACTTTACTCCCTAGGATTGGATTCCCCCTAGTGATAAAAATCAGAATTATACTGTTCTGACAGTCTTTCGAAAACCTTTTATGGTCAGTTGCTTAATTGACCATAAGACTTGTTTCAACATTAAAATTGATTTCTTCCATCTTAATGGGAAAGAGCTTGTGTTAGAGCTTCCAGGGGATCACCTGTGAACACAGTAACTATGCGGCTCAAGCAAAGGAACTTGACTTGAGAGAAGGAAGAGGTGCACTTTGCAATGCTCCTGACCCACCTGGGGAGCTCCAGGTAGCTGGAGCAGATCTCCTCAATGACATCATTTCTAGTAACCAGAAAGTCTGCTATCCTTGCAAAATATCACCCATCTGCCTTTTATTTCATCACAGACTGTATTGTGCATATCCCAGGGAGATTAACTGGAGGAGTAAATAGCAGTTGCGTGTATGCATGTATGCTCAATAGTGTCTGACTCTCTGTGACCCCATGGGCTGTAGGTGGAGGACAGGACACATCGAACAGTCCAGCTGAGCAGCGGGTCCCCACAGTGTCACACTGTGCCGCGGATAAAGAACCACATCTGGGCTAAGGGCTGAGTCCTCAGTCTTGTGGTCTTTGGCACTCTTCTTAAACTTTTTAGACCTCAGTTTTGTTACTATTGTTGTTTAGTCACTAAGTCATATCCAACTCTTTTATGACCCTGTGGACTGTAGCCCACCAGGCTTCTCTGTCCATAGGATTTCACATGCAAAAATACTGGAGTGGGTTGCCATTTCCTCCTCTAGAGAATCTTCCTAAACCTGGGATTGAACCCACATCTCCTGTGGCTCCTGCATTGGCAAGCAAATTTCTTAACACTGAGCCACCTGGGAAATTCATACTGGATCTTTTACAGAATAGAAAAGAGGACGAAGGAGAGAGAGCAGCCTCTGAGCTCCTGGACAGAACAGGAACACGATGACAGCTATGTGCATCTCCTGGCTACAATCTTTCTTCTGGTCCCCAGAGTAATGGCCTAACACATGTGTTGGAGCTTCTGTTCTACATCCTGATCTGTGCTGCAGTTTCCCATTAGAACAGGTGCCCTGTTTTTAACTACATACAGCATTCTTGGCTGTCATCAGAACCCTCTGGAATTCCATGTGACTAGCCAGGACAGAACTATACCTCGCTATAGTTAAGTGAGTGAAATCGCTCATCATGTCCAACTCTTGGCGACCCCATGGACTGGGGCCCACCAAGCTCCTCCATTCAGACACAGCACCATCTGCCCCACCACCCACTGCCTTAATGAATTTAAATATTGTCCTTCTGTCTCTGAAGGTGAAACCCTCAGAAGATTAGAACCCCCAGAAACCAAGACTAATGTGTGAAACAGAACATATTTAGCTTCCAGAATATAAGAGGCACTTGATAAACGCTGCTTTGATTCGCCTGGCTTTGAAATTGCTATATTTTTGTTTTGGGTCAGGAAGATCCCCTGGAGGAGGAAATGGCAACCCACTCCAGTATTCTTGTCTGAAAAAGCCCAAGACAGAGGAGTCTGGATGGGTTTAGTCCATGGGGTGGGAAAGAGCTGGACATGACTGAACGACCGAACACATATTTTTGTTTTTGTGATTTTAGCCACAATTCTATGCACTGGGACCTGTTCTAGAAAAGTGGCTCAGGCCTGGCTCTTGTCCTTCTTCTGTATCCATAAAGATACAGGTCATACACCACAGCAGTTGAGCTCACAGATAATTTCTTTTAATCCAATTTTCTTTCCCTAATGCAACAGGTCCTTTTAACTGAAATTTCTTCACTATCCAAACCCTCAGTGTGAACTTAAGAAAAGTGTGAACTGAATAGAGGAGTTAGATATGAAATAAAACCTTCCACACCCTATTTAGTTGAGAATAGAGTCGAGGAAACCAAGTATCCTGCACCCCAGAAAGATGAATGAGGCGGGAATTACCAATGTAGAAAGCCGCATTGTCCTGGCTAGCAAAATCATCAAGGTAGGCAATGCCTAGAGGCTGAATGGGAGTTTCTCCAAATCCACGAAGAAGGTTTCCCAGGAAGACATAAACCCACATGGAGGAGCTGGCATCAATTTGACATTCTTAAAAGGAAAACAAACAAAAGGATTGAAATTCAATCACTATTGAAGTTAAACATTTATTCTGCATGTCTACAACTTATCCTAAAGATGCATGAGAATGCAGAAGTGAAATCAGCAATAAATCGATTGATAGGAGTTTGAGCAACATATTTTAGGTAGTGTAAATCCCCCAGAAACTGACCAAGGAAATCTATCATTCTCCTTATTTTTTATTTTCTTTCTTTTTATTTCATATTTCTACTGAATTACTTGAATTCCTGTACTTCAGTAACATACAATGTCCAGTCTGGGCAAAAATAGAAAAATTTGAACAAAGGGTTTTCTTGCCTTAATCTTTAAACTTTCTTTCTTTCTTTTTTAATTAGTTGGAGGCTAATTACTTTACAATATTGTAGTGGGTTTTGTCATACATTGACATGAATCAGCCATGGATTTACATGTGTTCCCCATCCCAATCCCCCCTCCCACCTCCCTTTCTACCCAATCCCTCTGGGTCTTCCCAGTGCACCAGGTCTGAGCACTTGTCTCATGCATCCAACCTGGGCTGGTGATCTGTTTCACCCTAGATAATATACATGTTTCAAAGCTGTGGTACATATACACCATGGAATATTACTCAGCCATTAAAAAGAATTCATTTGAATCAGTTCTAATGAGATGGATGAAACTGGAGCCCATTATACAGAGTGAAGTAAGCCAGAAAGATAAAGACCATTACAGTATACTAACACATATATATGGAATTTAGAAAGATGGTAACGATAACCCTATATGCAAAACAGAATCTTTAAACTTTCTATTTGCAGCAGAAATCACTTGCAATTTTATCTGTGACCAAGGTTTATCTGAATTTCAAGTTTTATATGGGTGATACTTCAAATTTTAGCAGCATTGCCTACAACTGAAATTGTTTGATAGTGAGCAGACATGTTAAGGGCTCACATTTCAGAAACAAATTCATATAAAGCTTAAAAACCATACTTGGTGCCTCAGATGTAAAGGATCTGCCTGCAGTCCGGGAGACCCAGGTTCAATCCCTGAGTCTGGAAGATGCCCTGGTGTAGGGAATGGCTCTCCACTCCAGTATTCTTGCTTGGAGAATTCCATGCACCGTGGAGCCCAGAAGGTCGCCGTCCATGGGGTCACAAAGAGTTGGATATGACTGAGGGACTGACACTCTCATGCTTTAGTGGCATAACAATTCCAAAAAAAGAGAAGCTTCTGATATCATTTTTAGAGGAAAATTCAAAGCTAAAATGTTTAAAATGCTTTCATAAAAGTCATGTCTTAATATGATCATGTGAAGTAGAATAATTACTCCCCATATCATAATTAAATACAGTTAGGTGACTTTAACAAAAGTGTTAATATTAACTACCTCCAACAATCACCACTTCTGGAAGTTCCCTTTCTGGCAAGCACTGAGCTAAGTGGTTTTCAGACTTTTTCAAATTGAATTATCCTAAGAATCTTATGAGGTAGGAGATATTTTCTCTTGTAGTAACTTTGAAAGTAATTTTTGAAAGTGAAATGTGGGTTATTAAGGACTGGGGTGAACCCTTTTGGGTGGATGAATCAGACTTTGTGACATAAAAGATTATTGTGTAATCATGTGACGTTTAGTTCCGATTTTGTCTTTCCTAGAAATGTAGCCAAGTGACCAGGGATATTTCACTTAACTTCTCTGGATTTTTATTTCACTCCCCCAAATATAGTGGGACTACTTTTTCAACATTGATTCCAGTGTCAATTTCAGCTCTGCCTTTGGGGGATTCTATTATTGTTGATAGAGGAGTCTTGTAGTTAAGTGTAGACACTTTAGCTCTGGGCTTTCCAATACAGTGGCCACAAGTCACATGTGGCCACTGGAATTGATTAATTAAAATTACATGAAATTAAAAATTCAATTCCTCAGTCTCACTGGCTATACTTTAAGTACTCAATAGTCACATGGGGCTAATAGCTACTATATGTATGTGTGTGTCTTAGTCACTCAGTTGTGTCCAACTCTTTGCAACCCGATGAGCTTGTAGCCTCTCAGGCTCTTCTGTCCATGGGATTCTCCAGGCAACAATACTGGAGTGGGTAGCCATGCCCTCTTCCAGGGGATCTTGCTGACCCAGGGATCGAACCTGGGTTTCCTGCATTGCAGGCAGATTCTTTACCGTCTGAGGCACCTCTGCATACCATAGATATAGAACATTCCCATCACTACAGAAGTTCTGGTAGACAGCTCTGCTCTGAAATATTTGGAGGAAATGGGGTTTGCAAGCAAAGCATTTTTGAGATGAGTCCTCTGTTTACCCCACTAACCCCTTTAGGATATACTTATGTCCACTGTATCTAAGGTTTGTATATATCTATGACTTTAAGGGAACAGGATTTCATTTAAAGGAAAGAAAAGCATTGATTTATGAGTCATATATTCTATACCTGCCTAATAATTTTGTATCTTTACATTAAAAACTTCATCCCCCACCCCTAAACCCTACATTTCTCTTTTTAATCTGAAAGGCTTAAATATTAGTTGTATTGTCATTTATGGGCTTCCTGGGTGGCACAATGACAGAGAAACTGCTTGCCAATGCAGGTGACACAAGAGATGTAGGTATGATTGTTTTTCAGGAAGATCCCCTGGAGAAGCAAATGGCAGCCCACTCCAGTATTCTTGCCTGGAAAATTCCAAGGACAGAGGATCCTGGCAGACTACAGTCCATGAAGTCACAAAGAGTCGAAAACAACAGCACACAAACACACACTCATTGTCATTTATAGCATGTCTCTCCCTTGACTGTAAAAACCAAACCCAAAATATCTTCAATGACTGTACTTTATGTACAGACCAAAGCCTAAATCCTTTAGTCTGTCTCCTTGCTTCTTTGTGTGGATCTGAATTAAACTGAATTAAACTTTTGTTGTTCAGGGGCTAAGTCATGTCTGACTCTGCAATCCTGTGGACTTCAGTATACCAGGCTTCCCTGTCCTTCATTATCTCCCAGAGTTTGCTCAAACTCATGTCCATTGAGTTGGTGATGCCATCTTATCCTCTTTAGCCCCCTTCTTCTCTTGCCCTCAATCTTTCCCAGCATCAGATCTTTTCCAATGAGTCATCTTTTCTCATCAGATGGCCAAAGTATCCGAGCTTCAGTTTCAGCATCAGTTCTTCCAGTGAACATTCAGGGTTGATATCTTTTAGAATTGATTGGTTTGATCTCCTTGCTGTCCAATGGACTCTCAAGAGTCTTCTCCAGCACCAGAGTTCAAAAGTATCAATTATTTGGCACTCAGACTTTTTTAAGGTCCAAATATCTGTTATATTCTTACATGAACAACCCCTCTGGTCTCATTCACTGATTTATATACAGTCTCCTGAATGTATCTATTGCCTTCTTTCATGCTTTGCTTTTCTTCTAGAATACCTTCTTTTCATACAGCAGGATAGGATAAACCTTTTACATGTATACGACCAGCCCCATTTTTCTCCTCATATTTTAATATTTCTTTTAATTCTCCTATCCTTGCTTTCATTCAGAGTCAGGCCTCTCTGATTCATTGGCCAGAAAAAGGACATCTCAAAGGAAAGCATTAATGAGGACATCAGGGGAGTCAGAAAGTTTTATGGTGCAGATAAAAGATTTAGATGGATAGCAAGTATATAAAAGAAGGGCTTCCACACTGCCTCTATAGAAGTGGATTCCACAGCCTAGGAGTAGGAGAGAGATGAGGGTAGTGGAGAGGAAGGGTTGAGTCTATTGATGCTAAAGGTCGTGGGGAGAGAGGATTTGAGTGTCCACCAGTGCAGCATCCCAGAGACATGGCAAAGACCTGTGAGTAGATTCATGGAATCCATGAGTGAGGAAACCTGTGCCACCATGGCCAGGTAGAGCCAGAGAGGTAACAGGATCCCAAGGATGAAATGCAGTATCGCTAAGCATCCTTGCCCCTGCCTCTTCACAGGGCTTCCAGTGCCTAGAGTAACACAGAAGAGATGGTTCCCATGCTCCCAAGCATGGCCCACACATAGCCTTGCTGTGCAGTGTAGGTCAGCCACATGGAACTCTGGATATGTTAACAAAATTCCCCGAATCCTATCTTGTGTGGAAAGTAGAATTATTTCCATGTTTTCATGATGGTCACTTTTGCATCAGAGAGCTGCTATGCTAAAAAGGACATGAATGTGGACATAAGATGACCCCAAGATGACATATATGAACAAACACTGTGGCCAGAAGGATTTTAAATATTTAGGCTGACAGAGAGCTGATAACAGCAAGACCTCCCCTCCCACAATTTCCCCCTTTACCATTACGTAAACTCCTTAGAATGTAAGCTACCCCTGGGGACGTGGGTAGAGATTAGGGACAAATTGACTGACATCATGTTTTTGCCATTTTGATGAAAAAGGGATGAACACAAAAATTAAACTGTGTTTGGGGAAAAAAAAATATATGAGATTCGTACATGTTAAACTTGGTTTACCCTGTTTCACAGTACACATTATTTAGAACTGCTATAAACTTTCCCAGTCACTAGCAATTAATGTGCCATCTTTCCATAATATTTGATTTTCTGAGTATTTTCTTAAGATCTCATCATATACTGCTTTTGTTTTTGCTGTTCAGTCACTAAGTTGTGTCTGATTCTTTGCGATGGCATGAACTGCAGCACACCAGTCTTCTCTGGCCTTCACTGTCTCCCAGGGTTTGCTCAAACTCATGTCCATTGAGTTGATGGTGCCATCCAACCATTTCATCCTCTGTTGGCCCCCTTCTCCTGCCCTCAATCTTTCCTAGCATCAGGGTCTTTTCCAATGTGTTGACTCTTCACATCAGGGGGCCAAGACATTGGAGCTTCAGCTTTATATTCTATGATTTTTTTTTAATGGTACTATAATATCTCAATTTAGGTAGTAAAGTTTTTGACAGCAAAAATCATATACCGCATGCTAAATCACCTATAAAGACTAAAAGTATTTGTTTACTCCAGTCAAAAATAATTATCTTACCATTATTTATTTTGGATTGTGATTTTTCCACAACTGGAATTGGTAATGAATTGTTTGAATCCAGGAGACATGGAGAGATGCTGAGAGTGGAATTGGAGACAGAATACCTTTCATATTTGTACCTGTATAAAAAGAACATTTTCTTAGCATCTTGTGAAAAATATTATAAGTATACTACTCGACTCACTAGAACACTTGTTTGAATCTACAGCTCTCCATGTCCCTAAATCAAACCAGCATTTAACAGTACAGTTTTCTGAAGAGAGTGCTAGAATATCTGCTTCACATATATTACACTATATCTGAACCAACTGCCCAGTGTCATGAAAGATAATAAAAGAATGATTTAGAGAGGCTCATTTTAATATAAAATAATAACTATAAATCACCTACTCTGTTGGTGAAAAAATATCAAACATTCCATAAAATCATGCTTATCTCTGAAAGCAATAATTAGCAATTATGGTTATGGATATACTGTACTTGGAGTTGTAAATTTAGTAGAACACCTGGAATATTGATTCTAGAGAACTGAGAATGATACTTGGGCTTTTTGAACCGTTTATCCAGACAGTATCCTATTCTTCATTTTATTAATCTGGCTATAAGTTATTTCTAATGTTCTGTTTATAAGGTTACTATGGCAGCTGGATTGAGGAGCCAATGCCAGATGGTAGGACTGTGATCATTCCATCTAGAGCGCCCAGCACTGTTGTTTTTATTCAGTTGCTAAGTTGTGTCCAACTCTTTGCAAGCTCATGGACTGTAGCATGCTATGCTTTTCATTGGCTCTCCTTGCAGTCCAAGGGACTCTCAAGAGTCTTCTCCAACACCACAGTTCAAAAGCATCAATTCTTCTGCGCTCAGCCCTCTTTTTAGTCCAACTCTCACATCCATACATGACTACTGAAAAACCATAGGTTTGACTGTATGGGCCTTTGTTGGCAAAGAGATGTCTCTGCTTTTTCATATGCGATCTAGGTTTGTCATAGCACCATACTGCTTCTCAAATTACCCTTCAGAAGTTGATTTTTCTGCTTCACAAGCACCATTCAGGGCAGAGGTAACTGATGAAAGGAATCACATCACTTTGATTCTCATTTTGTTCAGGCATTATGTGACTAACGGCTAATCATCATAATAATGCTTAAAAATGGTAATAGTTTAAAGCTGTTTGACACAGTAAGGTCAAGATGTATTGACTTGTTAACATATTCAGGTTGATAAATGGCTTATCTCATATCATGGCTTCCCTTGTGGATCAGATGGTAAAGAATCCACCTGCAATGTGGGAGACCTTGGTTTGAACACTGGGTTGGGAAAATCTGCTAGATGGGGGCATGGCAATCCACTCCAGTATTCTTGCCTGGAGAATCCCGTGGACAGAGGAGCCTGGAGGCCTACAGTCCATGGGGTCACAAAAAGTCGGATATGACTGAGTAAAGAAGCATAGAGTGAATATCAGTGTTGCATAACCTACACCTCAATGGGTCTACGAACCCCATTGGAAAAATGAAAATATTTTTGTATATATGTATTTAAGGGAAGAGGTTCAGAGTTTTGGCACTTTTATCAAATGAATCCTTGACCAAAATAGGTTTCCTAAGTTTCAAAGAAAGTAACATCTCAGGTGTTAGGTGTATGGATGTTTCTGTGCAATTCTTTTAAGTTATTTTTTATATGTCTGAATAATTTTATAATAAACCTCAGAAAAATTTAAAAAACTATTTAATGAGAATACATTTTAAAAATTATTAGCTACACAGGAGAACATTTAGCATTAAATTCAAGGTAAATATAATTTTCTTTTTTTAATATAATTCCAGAGATACCAGGGATTATTATTGGGTTGGCCAAAAGTTCATTTGAGTTTCTCCATGAGATGGTTACGGAAAAACCCAATGGACTTTTTGACTAACCCAATATAAAACCTAAATGCTCTTAAAATGACTATCAATAGCAACTAGTTAGTATTTTTTAAAGTTTTTAGTTATTTGAGGTTTCTTTTTATCAGAAGGCAGCTGCTGCATATAAAATTATTTAGATCTTGAATAAATAGAATTTTATGTAAATGTCACTTTTTTCACTAAATACTATGACAACTTTTTCAAATTTCAGCTTTCTTAGTTATAAGGCGGGGGCTATAGACGTGGTCTGTGCTTATTTAGGAAACATAAGGAAACAAAGAAGTGTTTGAACAGGGGGCCACTGGTATTCAGTTCAGTTCGGTCGCTCAGTCGTGTCCGACTCTTTGCAACCCCACGAACCTCAGCACGCCAGGCCTCCCCGTCCATCACCAATCCCCAGAGTTTACCCAAACTCATGTCCATTGAGTCGGTGATGCCATCCAACCAACTCATCCTCTGTCATCCCCTTCTCCTCCTGCCCTCAATCTTTCCCAACATCAGGGTCTTTTCAAATGAGTCAGCTCTTTGCATCAGGTGGCCAAAATACTGGTGTTTCAGCTTCAGCATCAGTCCTTCCAATGAACACTCAGGACTGATCTCCTTTAGGATGGACTGGTTGGATCTCCTTGCAGTCCAAGGGACTCTCAAGAGTCTTCTCCAACACCACAGTTCAAAAGCATCAATTCTTCTGCACTCAGCCCTCTTTATAGGCCGACTCTCACATCCATACATGACTACTGGAAAAACCATAGCTTTGACTAGATGGAACTTTGTTGACAAAGTAATGTGTCTGCTTTTTAATATGCTGTCTAGGTTGGTCATAACTTCCCTTCCAAGGAACAAGAATCTTTTAATTTTATGGCTACAATCACCATCTGCAGTGATTTTGGAGCCCAGAAAAATAAAGTCAGCCACTCTTTCCCCAGCTATTTGCCATGAAGTGATGGGACCAGATGCCATGATCTTAGTTTTCTGAATGTTGAGTTTAAGCCAACTTTTTCACTCTACTCTTTCACTTTCATCAAGAGGCTCTTTAGTTCTTCTTCACTTTCTGCAATAAGGGTGGTGTCATCTGCATATTTGAGGTTATTGATATTTCTCCTGGAAATCCTGATTCCAGCTTGTGCTTCCAGCCCAGCATTTCTCATGATGTACTCTGCATATAAGTTAAATAAGCAAGGTGACAATATACAGCCTTGACGTACTCCTTTTCCTATTTGGAACCAGTCTGCTGTTCTGTGTCCAGTTCAAACTGTTGCTTCCTTACCTGCATACCAGTTTAAAAGTTTTTAAATGTGGAATTTTACTTCTGTCCTAGCTTCCACCCCCCACTGACACACTCTTGATTCTAATGCATGAATTTGCAGAGTGGCCTCCTAAATAGTCTCTTTGCTTTCACATTGGCCCCACCAGAGTTATTTTCCTAAGCAGTAGGTACTAGATCCCTTTAAAAATATGTCAGATTGTGTCATTCTGCTCAAATCTCTAGCCTGGCTTCTCATCCTGTTCTCAGAAGGTAAGGTCCTTGCAATAATTGGTGACCTTATTACCTGTGTTGTGGGGTCTGTAGAGGTGTAGCACCAGCTGAATATCAACCACCCACCCAGAGCTACTGACTCAGAATCTACATTTTACCAAGAGCTTCAGGCAATTTAAATGTCCATCATGGTTTGAGAATCAACTTGAAGTCTCCTTCTATACCCACCCCCCCTCACTTGCCTCTTGCTCGTCCTTGCAGCAGACATCATGCCTGACTCCATCCTCCTGCTATAGAAACATTCACTGTTCATTTAGCCTGGAATCTTCTTCCCCAGATGTCTATGTGGGACTCCCCTCATCTCTTTCAGCCTTTCCCAAAAGTCATCATCTTGGTAAATCATCCCCCAACAACGCTGCTTTAAACTGCAACCCCTCATGTACTCTTATGTGTCTTCCCTGGGTTATTCTTCTCTATGGCACTTAACATTTCCAGCATATGTCATTATTTATCTGTTTGTTTACTTGCTATCTCTTTCTAATAAGATCCATGACAGCAGAGATTTTTGTCACTACTCTATTCCTGTTACCTAGAACAGTGATCAATTTGTATTTATCAAATTCATGAGTCAGATGAGCAAACACACATAAAACAACACAGTCTGTTGGGAGTAGGCCCTTAATAATTCATATCTATAATTAATATTAGGTTTTCTTGACATCAAGGGAATTTCTGCTAAGCAGAGTATAGTCATCATTGAAAGAACAAAAACTAACATTTTGAATAAGTGTCCAATTAGTGACTAATGCTGTGAAAGGTTGAAAAGAAATTATTATAATAATCCTCAGTAGAAAATAAGTTCATGAGGGAAAGAATTGTATGTGTATGTTTAGGGAGGGGGGGTGTTTTGGTTTTCTTTCTTTTTGATTTTTCTCCATTGTCTGGCATGGTACCATCTGAGCCACCAGAAAAACCCACCAGGCAATTGGCACCCACTAAATAATAAATGAACAAGTGTATCTTTCAACATACAAAGGTGGTTGATAATAATCTGTCTTTAGTTTTTAAGCACGAGCCTGATTGACTTCTTAGATATACTTCTCCTTCTGATTTTCTTGTATTAGTATATTTATCATTAACTTGAAGTGACACTCAGCAGTGGCCACAGGACTGGAAAAGGTCAGTTTTCATTCCAACCCCAAAGAAAGGCAATGGGAAAGAATGCTCAAACTACCGCACAATTGCACTCATCTCACACACTAGTAAAGTAATGCTCAAAATTCTCCAAGCCAGGCTTAAGCAATACATGAACCATGAACTTATAGATGGTTCAAGCTGGTTTTAGAATAGGCACAGGAACCAGAGATCAAATTGCCAACGTCTGCTGGATCATGGAAAAAGCAAGAGAGTTCCAGAAAAACATCTATTTCTGCTTTACTGACTATGCCAAAGCCTTTGACTGTGTGGATCACCACAAACTGTGGAAAATTCTGAAAGAGATGGGAATAGCTGCCTCTTGAAAAACCTATATGCAGGTCAGGAAGCAACAGTTAGAACTGGACACGGAACAACAGACTGGTTCCAAATAGGGAAAGGAGTACATCAAGGCTGTATATTGTCGCCCTGCTTACTTAACTTATATGCAGAGTACATCATGAGAAACGTTGGGCTGGGGGAAGCACAAGCTGGAATCAAGATTGCCAGGAGAAATATCAGTAACCTCAGATATGCAGATGACACCACCCTTATGGCAGAAAGTGAAGAACTAAAGAGCCTCTTGATGAAAGTGAAAGAGGAGAGTGAAAAAGTTGGCTTAAAACTCAACATTCAGAAAACTAAGATCATGGCATCTGGTCCCATCACTTCATGGCAAATAGTTGGGGAAAAGTGGAAACAGTGGCTGACTTTATTTTTCTGGGCTCCAAAATCACTGCAGATGGTGATTGTAGCCATGAAATCAAAAGACACTTGCTCCTTGGAAGGAAAGTTATAGCCAACCTAGACAGCATATTAAAAAGCAGACACATTACTTTGCCAGCAAGTTCTGTCTAGTCAAGGCTATGGTTTTTCCAGTGGTCCTGTATGGATGTGAGAGTCGGCCTATAAAGAGGGCTGAGTGCAGAAGAATTGATGCTTTTGAACTGTGGTGTTGGAGAAGACTCTTGAGAGTCCCTTGGACTGCAAGGAGATCCAACCAGTCCATCCTAAAGGAGATCAGTCCTGGGTGTTCATTGGAAGGACTGATGTTGAAGCTGAAACTTCACTACTTTGGCCACCTCATGCGAAGAGCTGGCTCATTTGAAAAGATCCTGATGCTGGGGGAAATTGAGGGCAGGAGGAGAACAGTACAACAGAGGATGAGATGGTTGGATGGCATCACCGACACAACTGACATGGGTTTGGGTGGACTCCAGGAGTTGGTGATGGACAGGGAGGCCCGGCGTGCTGCAGTTCATGAGGTCGCAAAGAGTCGGATGCGACTGAGCAACTGAACTGAACTGAAGCGACACTATTCTTAATCTGAATGCAACAGCTTTAAGATAAATCATTGCCATCTCTGGTTAAAACCAGGTGGCTTAATTATCTAAGGAGGATTGATAATAATACACAACAAGAATGACACAGCTGTTAGCTATGTTAGGAAACTTGGCAAGCATTTGACCTGTGTCATCTCACTGAATATCTTCAACAATATTACAAGCTAACTATTGTTTTATTACCTATAATATGTATTTTAAGATGCATAAACTGAGGTCTAGGCAGGCTAGGTAATATGCCCAAGGTCACGTTTCTTCTGAGCTACTGATGCCCTTCAGAATGAGTTAGGTCAAGGATTTATCTAGTTTCTGTAACTGCTTTCAAATTTTTTAATATTTTTAGTGGAACTCTTTTTTTCCCACCTCTGAGCAAATTGCTGCATGGAGGTTCAATGACTAGAATAGATAACACAGAACTGGATTAAGCAGGGGTTGGGGGGTTGCAGACTATTTCCTCAGTCCTCGCCTTTGCCTCCTCCTTACCCACTGGCTGCATATAATACCTTTGTAGAATCTCAGTGACCTAAGGACACTTCTGCCTCGTGGAAAGGAGGTCAGATAGGTGTCTAAAGAGTAGGCAGAAATCTTGAAGCCATACAAAGACAAAAGAGTCACAGAAACCATCCAAATAGGTAGGAAAGATTCTACACAATGGATTCTGTGAGCTGTCTTTATAGATCGGATATGGATGTCAAAATCAGACTATATTTATATAAGTGACCTGGGAAACCAAGAAAAAGTTTGGACCAGATCATTTGTGGGCTTCTCAGGTGACACTAGTGGTAAAGAACCTGCCTGCCAAGGCAGGAGATGTGAGAAACATAGGTTCGATCCCTGGATCAGGAAGATCTCCTGGAGGAGGGCATGACAACCCACTCCAGTATTCTTGCCTGGAGAATCTCATGGGCAGAGGACCCTGGCAAGCAAGTCAATAGAGTTACAGACTCAGACACGACTGAAGCAACTTAGCACATGCAGATCATTTGTAAATCTCTCCAGCTTTAAAATGTCATGGTATGGTGGTCTAGAGTGGGCAGTCATCATAGATTTATCTGATACACAATTTCCTAAAATATTCTCTTGCTTTAAAACCTCTTGCTTGTCACTTGGCTCAGTAGGCAATGGGCAACCACAGAGAAGATAGGCAATATGTACATGAATGAAGAAGGCATCAGAATGCCTGTTTTAAGGATCCAGTTCTGTAATTATAAGACACCTAGACTTGGAAAGTCACCAGACTCTCTAGGTATGGTCCCTAGCTCTAAAGAAAAAAAGGATAAACTGTGCTCTCCTGCCTCATGGGTTGTCGTGAAGATGAAATGATATGATGAAATCTTTGGAACTACTGAAGTTGTATGCAAGTACTGATAAAATTACCAACAAAAGTATCAACAGGAAGCTTTAAGTTTACAGAATACAAACACTGCACTTCTGTTGAGAAAGCTCTGTGCGATAATATTTGAATAGTTATTTCAGTTGGTAATGTATCCCTCAGTCAATCATCTACCAGTCAATTTTACCATGATCCAGCATATTGTCTGTAGCATTCGTTATTACCCATTTGACACTCATTTGATGCTTATTACTTTTTCTTTACTTAGAACTTTGCCTCCACAGCTGTATTAAATCATTTGAATGAAGGCATATTTGTGAAAATTTCCCATAAATAATGTTGACATCCATACATAGTGGTATATTGAAAAACATTTTTTTACAGTTTATTAAATCATAAGTAAAATTGTAAGCATTTTGAAATTTTTCCCAAAGTGCATGTAATAAAATAAGATGTAAATTATCATGGTTATCATGATACAAACTATCATGGTTATTGTAATGACCAGGAATTATTTTTTCAAATTTAAATAATTAATTGTATTCATTAAAAGAGAGACAATACAGTTGTTGGTTAAACCAAGAAAAAGATGTTTGCTTTAGACTTACTGCTCCATGAAGAACTGAGGCATTGCAATGAGCAATGTTCCAACTCCCATGATCAGGCATCCAGCTCCAATTATTTTTGGCCTGTGAAGCTTGGCTCCAAAGTAGCTAACAAATGCTATAACTAAGAGATTCCCTTTGGGGAAAAGAATAAAATGTTCATAAATTAGAGAACTTAGAAAGTCATCATCATAACTAAATGACTATAACTGAATGAATAAATGTCTATGGCAAGTTGGGCAATGTTTGTTATGATTAAACCATCTCCCACCATCTTTCCTATCATTTGTCTTTTTTTTTGCTTTAATCTGAAATGACTGTTGAAACAATCCTGAGATTCATTACTTCAATCATCTCATCCCTTTATCAAAATAATAACTAACCATTCTACCTTGTTTTCATCCACCTTAATTATTTGTCCTTTTAAAGTGTTTTATCAATAAATCAAATTGTAGAAGGCTTCCTATAGTTGCACTCTTAAATTTTCCTTGGTGATTTTGAAGTAAACTTTATGACTCTTTGTTTGTTAACATTTTCTATTAAAATCTCGATTTGTTTCCCATTGCTCTTGAAACATACATAATATAGTCTTGCTTTAGCTGATAATCCCCAAAGAAAAAAATAAACAGAACAGTTGCACTTTAAATGAATTCAAATTATGAAATGCTCAGTTGTGTCCAACTCTTTCAGACTCCATGGACTGTAGCCCACCAGGCCCCTCTGTTCATCGAATTTTTCAGGCAAGATCCTGAAGTGGGTTGCCATTTCCTATTCCAGGAGATCTTCCTGACCCAGGGATTAAGCCAGCATCTCTTCCATCTCCTGCTTTGGCAGGCAGATTCTTTACCACTACACAACCTGGGAAGCCTGCTTGCTTACATACTTTTTACAAAAATAAAAGGTTCAAAATAGAAATGAAAAATTATTCCACATAGCTTCATAAATACATCAATTATATAATTATACCAATGTATGCTCAGAATACAAATTTTATGAAATAGAAAGTCTCTGTAAGATATAACCATCTCTTTTTAAAAAATAAAGAATAAAATTTTTTGAAGGTAGGACTTAAGGCTTTCTAAAATATCTCCAGTGAAGTAGTCGATGATGGTGATAACTGATTAAACATGCTTTAGGTAAGATTTTCTCATGCCTTGTTGTGTAGAAAAATTACTGGAAAGGAGTGGCAAGGTAAATACTCACAGAAACATTAAAAATGCAGAATCTTGGCAGCTCTCAACAGTTTCTGATTTCATGGATGGGGGAGGGGATGCAGGCCAAGAAATCTGCATTTTTAATATTCATTCAAATGTGTTGATGGGGATAATTCCTGGAACATGCTTTGATAAACATTGCTTAGGATCTTAGATTTCAAGGGACTTTAATGTTTTAGCTGTTTATATTTGGAGTATTTATTTTTTTAAAGATTGTGGTGCTAGATAAAGTAAAACTTCGCATTTCTCCAGCAATTGATTGTGGAGTTTGTTGGGTGGCCTAGGTTTGAAGTTGTCGATGTCTTCAATTTTCCAAAAAGAGTGAGTTTCCTCACATCTGTAAGCAATCATCTAATTTACTACTGTCTATTCACATTGCCAGCTTAAGTGCAAAAACAGCAGCAATTTTTATCATTTTGAGGATAGTAGTGAAAAAAGTAGCTTGCTCCTGGCTACAATTCTTCACCAGAAAGAATTGAGCTCTTTCCAGGTTTCATATAAAAAAAGCTTAATTCAGTATGAGATTTCTTATTTAAGTATTTAGTAGAAGAAACGTTGTAATATATATTGATAATTATGTCTGTAATTTTGCTAATGTGTCACAGTAAATAAACAAAACTAAATCAAAACCTAACTTTTAGTTTATAGGTAATGTGCCCCCCATCACCACCATTACCTCCTTCCCCAAGTCCCATATCACAGTTATGTCACAAAACAGCACTCATGTTTACAGGCTGTTTCTGTGTTATATAAGTGGGTATGCCAGACACTACAAAATACCATTTGAACTTCTGTAATATCTGTAGGTTTTGCTTCCTTTATTTAGTAAGCTTTCTGAGTTCTCACAAGATAGACTTAGAAAATAAATGGTGATATACAATCTTTAAAAAATCAAATTGGATATCGAAATTCTTTCACATCTACCATTACTAACTTCTGAAAAAACAACAGGTCCAGAGAGGTTTACAAATGTGTTTTTATCAAATTTTCGAGTGCTAGACTTTCCTGCTTTCTCTCTTCCTCTCTTTTCCCAAACACAGTACTTCAAATAGTAGAAAAGAAAGCTACCTAACTCATGCCTATAAGACTAATACAACCTTGTAATCCAAACTAGATGAAAACAGTGAGAGAGACCAAATGCAGTTTATTCTAGGAGTGGAAGTGAGTGAAGTTGCTCAGTCGTGTCCGACTCTTTGCTATCCCATGGACTGTCACCTACCAGGTTCCTCCATCAATGGAATTTTCCAGGCAAGAGTACTGGAGTGGGTTGCCATTTCCTTCTCCAGGGGATCTTCCTGACCCAGGGATCTAACCCAGGTCTCCTGCATTGCAGGCAGATGCTTTACTGTCTGAGTCACAAGGGAAGCCCAGGAGTGGAAGGGTACCACCAAATAAGAAACAAATCTGTTAATTAAAGCTGTATATAAAATAACGGAAGGAGAAAAATTCCATGGTTATATTGTGCTCAGTCACTTCAGTCATGTCCAACTCTTTGCGACCCCCTGTACTCGTGCATCCCTGGGATTCTCTGGGCAAAAATACTGGAGTGGGTTGCCACTTCTTATTCCAGGGCATCAGACATATAAAAGCACTTAATATAATTAAGCATTTATGATGAGAAAAATGTGGGCAAATTAGCTTTTAAAGTGTATCTATCAAAACTTCACAGCTCATAGATTGTTTAATTGTGAAATTTTAAAAGTATTTTCATTAAGGTAAGATGTAAGACAAGGATGCCCACTGTCACTGCTTCTATTCAACGTAGTACTGAGGCCAGTGCAAAACACAAGAACAAGAAATAATATATCTAATAATGGGAAAGAGTGATATAAAATTACCTTCTGTTTCAGACAATACAATTGTTCAGGAAACTCTATAGCATCTATAGATAATCAATTAAAATGAACAGATTCAACAAGATTGCTGTCTACTTGTAACATTAGATGTTAATACTCTTCCAGTACCCTAAGAATTACTAAATAAGAAATGTAACAAAAATTCTTTTCACAACAACATAAACTTTAAAAATGTAGGAACAAATATAACAAAAAATAACTAGTATATTTATAGTTTGTAAATATAATATTGAAAGCTATAAAAAGACCTAACTAAATGCAGATATATACCATGTTCTTGGTTGGAAAGACTCACTAACATAAAATGTCAGTTATCTGATTTTATATATAAATTCTATGCAATTTCAACCAAACCAAAATGGGATATTTCAGAAAACTATTCCAAATACAACCAAGAAAAAATTTGATAGAAAAGTTGGAAATTTTCCTACCTAATTGCAGAGCTAGTTATAAAACTATAATCATGAAGATAGTCTTGTATTGAGTTAGGGATCAATGGACTTATGGAAGAGATTTACACTTAAGAGATGAGTTTTTATGTGATAAAGAGGGTATTTCAAATACCTGGGTTAAGTATATATTGAATTAGTGCTGATCATACAATTTGTTATGATAATATAAAGAGGCTGCTACCTGGCTTTGTATTTTTTTTTTAATTCTATTTTAAGAATGCCTCTTTTGATTCAGCATATAAGAAGCTAGAAGAATCCTCTTCATCCTGCTGCAGCTGCTAAGTCACGTCAGTCGTGTCCAACTCTCTGCGACCCCACAGACAGCAGCCCACCAGGCTCCTCTGTCCCTGGGATTCTTCAGGCAAGAATACCAGAGTGGGTTGCCATTTCCTTCTCCACCTCTTCATCCTAACATTAAGTAAAAAGCTGAAAAATCAACAAATCTTCTTAGATCTGTCAGACAGGTCTCTCTTCCAATTGGAGAGACCAATAGGCAAATGCAAAGAACTGTGGCCAGCTGGAAAAGAAATCCACAACAATAAATCTCCTTGGGAACAAGTTCTATGGTAAGAAAAACCTGAACTGTACCTGACAAGAGGCTCAGCATGGACAATTCTGAGGGATGAAAATTCCAGAGGGACTGAGGGATTGAGGGCCCCCACACTTTTGTGAGCTTTACTTTAAGAGCTCAATTAGGTTTTCACAGTGATATCGGAGAATAAATTTTTTGTGCTTCCAGCATGGGGAGGGGAATGGGAACCATTTTGAAATATGCCAGGGCACTCTGTTTATCTTAAGAAAGCCTGCTTTTAGGGGGAACTAGGAACCAAAGTCTAACCTGCTGGGGCATTATCAGAGCCCAGCTGACCTGGGGGAAGGGTAATACCCAACTCTAGCCATTCTAGCTATCCTGTCCCACCAATGAGGGGTCGGGGGACTGGAAAGCACACCTGAAGTTCACAGTCCAGAAGCAGAGACTCACTAAGAGCCTAAGACCCGTAGGACCATGGAATGCTTTCGTTCCCTCACATATTACCATCACATTACTAAAGGCCTATTTATAACAGTTCCTTTCAACCGGTACATCTTTTCTGGCTATGAAGGAAAAAAAAAAAAAAGACATACTGAAAATAAAAAGAAAAACTTTTGGAAGAGACAGAGCAACCATCAGAACCAGACATGGCAGAGATTTCAGAGTTGGTAGACTAGAAATGTAAGACAACTATAATTAAGATGCCAAGATCTTTAATGGAAAAAGCAAACAGCATGCAAGAACAAATGGGCAGTGTAAATCAAAGAGATGTAAATTCTGAGAAAGATCCAAAAAGAAAAAAATCTAGAGAACAGAAGCACAGTAACAGGAGTAAAGAATGCCTTTGATTGGCTTGCTGGACACAGTTGAGGAAATAATCTCTGACTTCAAGATACATCAATAGAAAACACCAAAAGTGAAAAGTGAAGGGCAAAAGACTGAAAAAAAAATTCCAGAATATCCAAGGATGTGAAACTATAAAAGTTGTAACATACAGGTAATGGGAATTCTAGAAAGAGAAGAAAGAGACAAAGGAATAGAAAAAATATTTTAAAAAATAACGACTAAGAATTTCTACCAAA